AGGAGCAGTCTCTGGTTCTGGTGGCGGCGGCGGCTGTTTCAATCACTGCACACTGGTTGTAGGTGATTATGGTGGCGGCTGACTTCTGAGCTTTAGGGATCTGCAATTTCTTTTTATTCTCTTTTTTTTTTTTAATTTTTTTTTGGTTTGATGTGTTTTAACTATTTGGATGTGGGGTTTTGAGGTATGAGTTTAGGATTCTGTTAAGTTTGACATCAACTGATGCAGGATAAATCAGATTTCATTTGCCTACTTAGAAATTTGGGGGACAAAAATCTAGACATCATGTATTGGATTTCTTAGGCATTACATCTAAGAAATATTGAGTATCATACTTAAGGGTTTAATAGCATTCACAGCCAGAAAATTGATAAATCCTCGAAGTATTTTATTGAGTTACTAAACACTTGTTTTAGAAAAAGTGAATTTATAAAATTTTTATAATGCCTTCTTATTAACTTTCTCTGAGTAGCATTAGACTACTAATACTAGTAGGATTAAGAAATAATATTACTAATACAAATAGAAAAACTAAATAGTACAAAAAATAAAATTCTAAAATTACTAAAATGTAATAGTAGACTACTATTAAATAGTACCATAGTTTTATATTTAGTATAATTATAATTTTTAATCTATTTTGGCAAGTTACACTTTAAGTTATTTTGCATTATATGTGCTTAACTCCTAACCAATATAATAAAATTATAATTTCTAATCTATTTAGGAAATTTAAGCTTAACTTATTCTGTGTCATATATGCTTCAAGCTTACATGAGTATTCCCTATTTTCAGATTCTGGTGTAGATCCAGCTGCTGCTGGATTGCAAGTTACTTCTGATGGAAAACCGAAAATCCTAGATGTCATTGACTGGTACAACAGAACTAGCTGAGCAGGAGGTTGGCCTTTGAAGTACTCCAAGATAATGTCTAACCAATTTTTATTTTTATTTTTTTCATTTTATCAGCACGGGAAGTGGAGACGTTGATACCTCAAAAGTGGTGAAGGCTGATCCGGATGGTTGTATTTGTGGAGCTTCAGGTTGATGTCATGAAATATGAGTAGATATTATAAGCATGGGTCTGGAATATATATATATATGTGTGTGTGTATATTAGTGCTGAACCTATCAAATGCCAGTTTATTTGTTCTTGAATTGTTTCTTTTAACTCTATGACACAAACGTCCAAAAGAGTGTGCTGATCAGAAACCAGCAGAGACATTTCTTACTTGGCCTTCCTACAAGATTTAAGTATTTGGTATTTTGCTTAAAGGATTCTTGTACTATTTTGGTTACTGACAGACCACCATGTGATTATAGGATTATGGACTTTTAGTTAATTTCAGTTATATGAACAATGATCCATCCTGTGAAACAGGCAAATGGTCTTTGGATTAGATCATAAGTGAAAATTTCTTTCTTATGTCATGATGAGGCATTAACTTCCAAGCTTGAACTTCAAGATGTCCAGTCAATTATGATCTTAGCTTTTGGAGGCCACATCAAGTTCTGTACTTCATCTCTCATACTTGCGATATGTTTTAATTAAAATATTCAATATTCTCGTATTTTCCCCATTGATTTCATGTTAATTTGTTTCCATTTATTTGTATCTCTTGAATATATCCTCTCATTATAGAGTCTACACTATTTATTCATGCATGCATGGATGCATACAGGTAAATATATCTTTCTATGCTTTAAGTTAAATTATCCACAATAATATTAACCGATTTGTAACACTTTTGTACATGAGTTTGCATCCTCTTAGTGCGTATAATCAATGAATTTATAATTTTTATTTCAGAAAAAAACTGTGACAAATATGTATTAGATTAATCTTTAGTAAGTTCTAGTTATATAAGCTGCTCACACATCCGCACTATCTAAATAGGCACATGTAGCTTTGTTATCTCTTTATTTTTATGCTAACTTCAGTTTATCAATTTCCTTCTTCTGTGTTTGTAAAACATTTCTAAATAGGAGCGTCTCTTATTGTTAATTCTTCCTGGAAAAACCCTAGTGGTGATTGGCATGTCGGTTATAAATTGGTCTATGAGCTATTCACGGACACATTGACTTCTCGTTTGAAGGTATAATTGTTGTTATTCCAATGTGGTAAAGTATTCGGGTTGCTTCTTGATCTTAAACATTCTGGTTTCAACTATTTCCCCCTTTTTTTCTTGGTTGGACAGAAAGAAAGAAAAAAAAAGTGGGATGAAAAGAATCAAGAGGAAATTGCTAAGGCTCTAAAGCATATTGACGAATTTGATCAGGTTGTTGAAAATGCTGCACGTTAAGATTCATTGTTCTTTTTTGCATGTAAAATCGATCATTTGATCTGCATAGAACAAAGTACTGCTAGCTGATATGATCTTGCATCATTTTCTCTCAACAAGCAATGTTTTTCCTATTCCTTTATGTAATTTGTTATGTCATCCAAGCTTGTAGAAACACAAGAAAGTGGATGATGCAAATTTAAAAAGGACTCGTGAAGACCTCCAGAACAGGGTTGATATCTTAACAAAACAGGCTGAAGTAAGTGCACAAGATTACGAAATAATATTGGTTCACTTTGTATAGTACTATGCAAAATAACATCATTTTATGTTCAAGAGCTACGATGATAAAGGCCCTATCATAGATGCTGTTGTATGGCATGATGGAGAAGTATGGAGGGTTGCTCTTGACACACAAAGTTTTGAGGATGACACGGAATGTGGGAAACTAGCTGATTTCTCACCTCTAACTAATTATAGGTAGTTATATTCACTTTCTATGGGTATTATATGGTTTAGAAGTAGGATTAATGAGGCCTATCTGAACATGGGTGATTCAAGTTCTTTGACTAACTAGTTGGTTATTAACTTGCAGGATTGAGCGAAAATATGGTGTATTTAGCAAATTAGATGCTTGTTCCTTTGTTGTTAATGTATATGATGAGGGAAATATCTTAAGTATTGTAACAGATAGTTCTCCTCATGGTACTCATGTTGCGGGTATAGCTACTGCTTTCCACCCAAAGGTGGGAACAAACCTTATTCTGTTTGCTATGTTTCTTTTTTCTTTAGCTAAATGAGCTTAGTCCTAA